CATTTACTGGGGCCAAAGACAGAAGCTGATTTGGAAAAGAAACCAAAGGTGAGGAGGAGAGGGAGGCTAGGATGGTATTTCCCTGCTGAGTGTCCAGGAAGGAACCCAGATAGTTTCTCTTGACCAGCTGCTACCATGGGCACAAGTCCAAGGGAGCACTGGGGCAGCAGATGGGGCCAGGGGGGCAAGGTACATGCCAGGGCCAGGCACTCAGAGTGCTGTGCTGGTTCCTGCAGGCTGCAAAGGCCCGGCCAGCACCGGCAGAGAAGCAGAAGGCAGCTGTGGTGGAGAATGGTAAGAAACTGTCCTGTGGGCAGCTTCCCCAGCCCTTTGGTTTCTGGCCAGGACCTGCCTGTAAGTTGGGCACTGGGAGCTGCAGTCAGGCCCTGGCTCAGCCCCGTCTCCCGCTCAGGTGAGGTGGGCACAGAGACACGGTCACTGCTGGAGCAGCTTCGGGGAGAAGCCCTCAAGTTCCACAAGCCAGGTGAGTGTGAGCAGTGACTGTGCTGTGCCTGGGTCAGCTCTCCCTGCTGTGGGGGACCAGCCTGGCCCCACTTCCTTCCCTGCTGACTGCTGGGCTTGGCTGAGTTTGGGCAGTGATGCAGCCCTGAGCATCCTCTGCCCCCAGGAGAGAACTACAAGACAGAGGGCTACGTGGTGACACCCAACACCATGGCTCTGCTGAAGCAGCACCTGGCAATCACGGGTGGGCAGGTGAGGCCATGACCCCCAGCCCAGTGGTGGGGGGGAGGGTGGCACTGCTGTGCCAGGCTCCAGCCAGGTCAGGGTGGCTGAGGGGACACACAGTTCACCAGGAGTATGGCCAAGGGTGGCATCCTGCTCTGTGGGACCTTGGGGGGCTCATGTCAGTGCCCCTGCTGTCAGGCATGGGGAGGGTCTCCTGCTGCAGGACTGAGGTGTGCCCTTTCCCCCCTGCAGGTGCGGACACGGTTCCCTCCTGAACCCAATGGGATCCTGCACATCGGCCATGCCAAGGCCATCAACTTCAACTTTGGCTATGCCAAGGTGAGAAGCCCTGCTGGCATTTCCCCCAGCCCCTGCCTCCACCTGCTTCTTGGCCCTCACTGTCCCGCTGTCCCCAGGCCAACGGTGGCGTGTGCTTCCTGCGCTACGACGACACCAACCCTGAGAAGGAGGAGGAGAAGTACTTCACAGCCATCCGGGAGATGGTGGAGTGGCTGGGTATGGCTTGGGCTGGGCAGGGCAGCGTTTGGCCAGGTGCTGCTGGGGTCATCCCTGTGTGCAGGTCCTACGGCTGGGCCCTGGAGGTGCCACCAACCTGCCCTGTTTCCCCCTTCCCCACAGGCTACCAGCCCTATGCAGTGACCCATGCATCAGATTACTTTGACCAGCTCTACGCCTGGGCCCTAGAGCTTATCCGCAGGTGAGCACACCGGGGCTGCATGGGTGCATGGGGGCAGGACGGGATGTTCTGTGCCACAGCCAGGGCTTCCTCTCCCCCAGAGGATGGGCCACCCGTATCTGGTGACAGTGTTTCCCCTCCGTAGGGGCCAGGCGTATGTCTGCCATCAGAAGGTTGAGGAGATCAAGGGGCACAACCCACCGCCCTCACCATGGCGGGACCGGCCTGTGGAGGAGTCGCTCGTGCTCTTTGAGGTACAACTGACTGGGGACAAGGACTGTGTACCCCTGGAGTTGGGGTCCATGGCTCAGTCAACAGCTTCTCCCCACTCCACAGGACATGCGAAAGGGCAAGTTTGGGGAGGGGGAGGCCACGCTGCGGATGAAGCTGGTGATGGAGGACGGGAAGATGGACCCTGTCGCCTACCGTGTCAAGTTCACTCCACACCACCGCACTGGGGACAAGTGGTAGGGAGGGCCTGTGGTGTCCTGGCACATCTGGAAGTGGGGAGGTCTTGGAAGCTTCAGCTCCAGGCTGTGCCCCAGGGCTGACTCTGTCTGCCGCGCAGGTGCATCTACCCCACCTATGACTACACACACTGCCTCTGCGACTCCATCGAGCACATCACACACTCCCTCTGCACCAAGGAGTTCCAGGCCAGGTGAGGACTATGCCTGTCACAGCCAAGACTGAGTCAGACCTGGCAGAGCAGCTCTGGCAGGGAGCAGCTCGCTGTGTGCTGGTGGCTGCTGAAGGGCTGGGCACAGTGTGTCTGAGGGCTGGGGGCAGGCCCGAGGCTGAGCCGGCTGTGCCGGTGCCTCCCTGGCAGGCGCTCCTCCTACTTCTGGCTGTGCAACGCGCTGGACGTCTACTGCCCCGTGCAGTGGGAGTACGGGCGCCTGAACCTGCTCTACACCGTTGTCTCCAAGAGGAAAATCATCCGGCTGGTGGAGACAGGTGCTGTGAGGTAGGAGCAGGCCTGGCAGCCGGGGCGGGTCTCACCTGGGGGACACCTGGGGGTCACACCGGTGTTGTTTCAGGGACTGGGATGACCCGCGGCTCTTCACGCTGACAGCCCTGCGCCGGAGAGGCTTCCCCCCCGAGGCCATCAACAACTTCTGTGCCCGGGTAGGCACCAGGGGCAGGGTGGGATGGGGCAGGTGGACGTGTCACCCAGCCAGTGTGGTGACAGCAGGCTGTCCTGCAG